CACCTCTCTCCCCAGTCTGGCATGAACGGCTCGAATAGTTCCTGTATCAAATGAAGGCCGCCTTCTGAAACACGAAATGTGCTGTGATTGGTTAGCTGGGCCAGTGTGTGTTGTGATTGGTTAGCTGGGCCAGTGTGTGTTGTGATTGGTTAGCTGGGCCAGTGTGTGTTGTGATTGGTTAGCTGGGCCAGTGTGTGTTGTGATTGGTTAGCTGGGCCAGTGTGTGTTGTGATTGGTTAGCTGGGCCAGTGTGTGTTGTGATTGGCAGCACTCGTCGCCTGGTCGGGAAATGCCACTCCCCTTACCATAGCCGCCTGCGAGCCTCAGTGTAAATATTGCGTCAAAATCAAATAAATTTGAGCGTGATTTAAACCCAGATGATTGTAACCACTCTAAGTTCGTCTGCCTTTGGAAAGTTAGTGTGTCTCAGACATAGTGATAACACTCGTTTTCTTCTCTAGTGCAGCTCAACCAGGTCTCGTCCCATTCGTTGGTATTTGTGATATCACAAATCCCGGAAAATATGCGTTGTAGTCCAAACGAGTTGTTGTAGTTTTTGAAAAGTGATTTCTGTTAAATAAAATATCTCCTTTTGGAGTGGACTTTGAGCTTTGTAACTTTTATGCTCAAACAGCAACATTACAGACTAACTAAAGTTGAAAAAGTGAAAAAGCACAATAGGACCCCTTTAAGGTACTAAAATGTACCCTTTAAGGGTGAATAAGGTAAAAAAAAGGTCCCAGTGACAGCTTTTGTACCCTTTTCTGAGAGTGTGGTAATTCATAGTTTCCAGAATTCTTCAGAATAGTGCAATAGTACAATGATTTTTTTTTTTTACCTGACAGTAGTAAGATCAGGCAGACAGCAAAGAAATCAGGGTACTCTGCCAGGCCGGGCAAACTCATTTTGAAGTACATTTTGCAGAACTTTTCAATGTGGCCCCCTATAAGCTCATCAAATGTCCCACTCCATGCACGTGCCACACTAGAGGTCCCTGTCCCAACAGAATTTCAGTTTAGTTTGGAAAATTATATTTATTTGCTATTTAACTGATTTATAATATTGCCAAATCATAATTACCTATGACGTATGACAGAATGAGGTTCCATCCTGTGATGAAGGCCCAGAGCTCCCCCACGGTCACATAGCTGTACAGATAGGCTGAGCCCGTCTTGGGTACCCGCGCACCAAACTCGGCATAACACAGGCCGGCCATCACAGATGCCAGAGCAGCGATGAGGAAAGACACCACAATGCTGGGGCCAGAACTGCTTTTGGCCACCTCCCCAGCAAGCACATAGACACCGGCCCCAAGTGTACTTCCCACCCCGAGGGCAATCAGATCAACAGTGGAGAGACATCGGCACAGCTTGGACTCCTCCAGACAGTCCTGGTCCACATTCTTCCTTCTCACAAGGGAGCGGCCAAACGTGAGGCAATGTTCCAGCATTCTTCCTGTTAGCACAAACTGTCAAGATGTTTGTTTGTTTTTTGTTTTCAAGATGACATTTTTCTTTTCAAGTGAAAGGATACGATTTATTGTCCTTTTTATATTGTACATATTCATGATGACCCAGTATGTGTGGTGAACATTTCTGTAGATTTTTTGGCTAACGTTGTGCAAATGGGAAGAAAAAAATAAATGCACAATGTTACGATTCGATTCTGCAAGCGAAACGAAGTATTGCGAACCATAGTGGAGCTGAGGCATGTAAAAGAACACTGTATTATTCAATAACACTTTTGGCCTTTGTTCTCACTTGTACATGTCTGCAGTTTAAGCAGGTTTTAGAACTGCACAATGTACAATAATGTAAAAGCCTTAGGCATTATTGCATAATAGTGGGGTGAAGTGAATTTCATTTTGATAGGCGTAGGTTTTTGGCACATCGCTTATTGGCCAGTGTGCTTCTGTGCAATTAAAGAGTTAAGTTAGTAGTAAGCCATTGTCATCTTACAAGTTAATTGAATTTAAATGTTTGTTATAAATGTATATAGTATTATGAGTTTATATAAAGCAGACTGGCACATGTATATAAAATATTTAGACTTATATAAACTGAGGACAATACTAGACTCCTTGCACAATAAAAATTAGTCACATACACTACAGAGGTAATTAAAACCCTTTTAGCTGTTGTCATCATTAAATAGCTAAATAATATAATCATATATCTTTATACACTTTTCAAAGGTTTGGGATCAATATGATTTTAACTTAACTTTTACTCCGCAAAGACCCATTAAATTGATCAAAAGTGACAGTAAAAATATTTCTAATATTAAAAAAAATATTATTAATATTTTTGCAAAAAACATTAAGCAGCAAAAAATATTTTCAACGTTTATAATATTAAGAACCATTATTAATTATTGAGTACCAATAATAATTAAGTAGTAAATCATCATATTAAAATGATTTCTGAAAGATCATGTGACACTGAAGACTGGAGTAATGATGCTGAAAATTCAGTTTTTTGATCACAGGAATAAATTACATTTAAAAAAAATTTTTTAGAAAAGAGTTATTTTCAATTGTAATAATATTTCACAATATTACTAATTAATATTACTGTTTCACTGTATTTTTGATCAAATAAATGCAGCCTTGGTGACCATAGGAAACTTCTTTCAAAAAGATTAAAACATTTTAACAAGCCCAAACTTTTGAATAGTAGAATACATATTTTTATATACACACACACAAACACACTTACAGACAGTACATAGAACAATTTTAGGGATTTGTTTTTGTCTCATTTTGCATGTAAATGAGGTCGCAGACCAAAGTTGCGGTTAAGTTACTTCCTAAAGAACTTCTTTTACACATAAAAGACATTTCTATAAAAGATTTGGCACATTGTGGTGCGTGTGACCAAGTGGCTGGGCATTAGCATTACACTGTGTCTGCCTACAACCTGTGAAAGGTGTTAAGGAATCACACATGCAGAGCAGATTGACATGCATGAGGCTGTACATGTGAGCTGTAGCCCTGAGAGCTCATCATGATTAATTTGACAAGCAACTCTGAAGCTCAGTTACAGCACAACATATTTTATAGCTGAGCCAGACTTTATTCTGTCTTACTGTAATGAGTGAGTGGATATCATTAATACAAGTTTAATGAATTAATAGAAGCTGGTAAGAGTACAGACAGACTTTTGCACATGCAATGGTCATAGATTAACTTTTATACATTAGTCTGCTTTTAAAATGATATGTTTTCAATGGATCTGCTAAAAGTATTTGAGCATGTGTAAATGCACGTGAACAATTCAAAATTATCTAAAAGTATGTATTTGCACACAAAAACTAAAACTTACCACCTGATGAGAGACTGGCAGCTGTAGAATCGCCTTATGGACGTAATGCCTTACAGTTACATGCAAACACACACATACACGCCCCCACACACACACGCCTTTCAGGGATCTCCACTGATTTCTTAAAAAAGCTCACAGGCTCAGAGAGATCCAAGTCAGTCCTTCCCAAGTCCTGTCTCGAGTTTGCCCCTTCCTTCTTCAAGCTCAAATGACATGTCAGCCCACAACTGCACTAGTTTTACTGCCTACTTTACTCTGCTCGGGTTTGTCTTAACTTGCCCTGCCCCCTGTGAGGAGGGCTGGTCCGGCAGATGTGTGCTGCCCCAAAGAGGAGGAGAGACTTAGACTTCACACATGAGAGAGGCAATGCTAATTTCCCTATTCAATCAGGTCACCGGGTTTTTTTTAAAGCATGTTCTTTCTGGGAAAAAAAACAACAACTCTTGGCCAAGTAAGTCCCAGCTGCCAGTGCATTTATTGACCACTGATAAATGGTTAAGCAATTGACATTGACAAACATTGAGACAGACAGATCTGTTTGCCCAATGCAGTGTGGAAGAGTCACTAAAAGCATGGACACTGATGGGACAAAGAGGTCTGTCAAAGGTAAAGGGTTTTAATGGATGATTGTTTCCCTTATTTATAAGCACAGGGATACTGGGTCAGTTGGCCTCTCCAGAACTACAGTATAGTGATAATATAACAAATCTGAAAGACCGAGGTGATTGCCACTCAGAGCTGAATTTTAGTAACCGAGTCAAAAGTCGAGTTACTGAAAAGCTGAACACATATGCTTAAGAATTTTTTTTGGTCAAATTTGTGGGCCTAGTAACTAAATATAAAGAGCAATGCAGAACTAAAGATCAAGTTCCCATAGACCTTAGTCAAAGTAATGAAGGAAAGGAAAACAAAAGTTTTTTGGTTGAACCACTTTTGAAGGAATAGTCAGAGGCGGACAAAGTACACAACTCCATTACTTAAGTGAAAGTACAGATACTGCTGGTCAAATATTACTCCATTACTAGTAAAAGTTGGTTGGACAGATTTTTACTTAAGTAAAAGTACAGAAGTACTTGCTTTTAAAAGTACTTAAGTACCAAAAGTAAATTTCCTTATTTATGTCAATGCACTGTTTTATTATTGTTGTAAT